CGTAGTGCATGGGACCACTGAGATTTAGAAACAATCTGATTCTGATGGGGGAGCATGGGCTAGGTCCAGCTGGAACCTTGGCAAAACAATCCAGTCCAATTTGGTGTTATCACGACCATGTTGAAGTACCAAAACCCTCCCAAAACCCATTTGCACCAAGCAGATTGGTCCTTGTCCTTGGTCCATGTTTTTGCACGCTTGGCCTTGGATTCGGCCCCGAACCGGTGCCCCCTACTGAGCGGACACGGTGCAGCTCTTGAGCGGAAACGCGTCCACCACTCGGTCGTGGGAAAGGCATCTCACATATTCACCGTAGTCTGGCTTCGAAGGACACTTCTCATCCGCTGACCTGCAGGAAATAAGAAAGCGGCCAAATGTTGATGTACACGGGCGTCTTGCCCCAACAATGAGCAAATGCAAAGTTGAACGTGCAATTGTCATCAATTGTCCAGAAACAATGGGATACAATGGAGAAGCTTCGTGTTGTGCAATGGATCTGCATGGATTAGCTGTTGGTTTCTGGCGTTCACATGCATTCTTGCGCCCATCTCACGTCCAGCGAACCTCACATCTTGGCGGAACAGGAGTGGCACCGATTCCTTCACCTCCGACGCAAAGAATTCCTCGTTCTCGGAGCTGCATTTCTGGGCCCGTGCGCAACCACCACCGGATCCCAAGCAGCCGGTATGCCAAAGGGACATGCCACCGGAGAGATGTGCTTGTGTGGTGCAAAAAGTGGAGAAATGCATCTGTTGATAGTCCATACATGTCCACACACTCATACACGTGCCATAGTGTGACGAGTTTCCCAAATCTATTATATAACATATCGATCACTGCGCATGTGCCCAGCCAAAGCTTGTGCATGGGAAGGAAAGCATGGCCGGTGGCACCTTTGAGCCTTCGGCTGGGCTAAGCCGGCCGGACATTTGGAAGATGCAAGTCAACTCTGAATCAAAAGCAACTTGCGCAGCCCATCATCCAAACCCCGGGACTTCTTGAAGAAAAAACCCAACAAATCGATAAGATTGAGAACCGATCAGTTTTGAGAATCCAGCTTCTAACCCACACCCACACCGTGGATGCCAAGGTCAGCTACGCCTGTCGCGTCGCTCATCAGGTTGTCAAAGCGCACAGACATCCACGCTGGTCACTAGGCTTGCGGAGAGATCATTCGTGGGCCCTGGTCGCTCACCCCTTAAACCATATGGGTTTGTAATTACAATGATGGTGTGACAGCCTGGTACTTCGTGTATTTTCATGTATTTCCCAATGGTCTCTGTTAAAGACTGGCCAGCAACGCCCTGAAACCCTTGCATTCTCGAGGCAAATCCTTTGTGCAGTTTGCTCTGGACTCCAACCGTAATTTAAACACAGTGGAGTAGATTGACCTTCAGTGTAGAAGCAGGACTGCATTCTGATGCATAATGCATCCACGTGGTGAAGGGCACGTGGGGGACACCTCAAAATGAAGAACAAACTTTCAAGTGTGCAACAAGTGATTGGGTGCCCCTCGCGGATGCGAGTGAGTCCAAGCCTCTGCGGGCCAATCTTGATTCCATTCCGGATGAATGCTGCTCTGCCATTGCAAAGTAAATGCACTCGATTTTGGACCATTAGGCCACTGCAAAAAGAGAAGCCCACTAGAGCTGAGCTGCTTAGCTTGCCGCCCCCCACCAGTCCACAGCAGCCCTCTGTTGACGAAATATTCACTGTCATTGAGTTCAGCTAAATTGTGCATCTACTGATTACAGCCGGAACTGAGACGTCTCACACGAAACCGGCTCTCTCTCTCTCTCTCTCTACTCCTGGTTCCTAGTTACAACATGTTACAACTAAAGGATAGCTGCCGGGGCCTGTTTCAGGCGTGGACTAAGGGAGAGCTTCGTAGGCCGAACTAGAGACCAAAGTCCAACTTCTCAACTTCGTATCTGGACATCGATGGCAGGCGCACAGGGAAGCACTCGCCAGGAACCACGTGCGGAGGAATCCTGAGGCAACATCTGATGTCATATGGAGTGTCATATGGCTGTGGATCAAAAGTAGGGTACCTTGATTGACCAAAGGGTCACCCAGCTGAAGGAAACTTGTCCAGCCCAGCAGCAAGGCACAAAGCCAGCGACCATCCCACTCACCAACTCCTAGAAATGCCACTGCCTGCCCTGTGACGCATGTGTAGGGCGCTTTCCTGAGTTCAGAAGAAGCCGAGAGGCATACACAACAGTCTGAAAAGTGCATAAAACGCACACGCTCGTGGTAGAGGGCACTCTGCCACTACAATCACCTTCCTGACATCTCCTGACCATGCCTTCAAGGAGAAGTGCTGCAACGTTTCGTAACCACTCACACCAAACATGATTCACAATTTGGCGTTCAACACCATGATCCTGGCACTTCCAGACCAAATGGAGTTGTATTCAGGGACCCCCTGGCCAGTTTTCAAGAAAAATGGTCAGTTCACCCACCGTCGAAGAACGCCCTGAAGGATTCTACCCCTAACCATCACATCCAACATTAGAACCCAGGTACCAACTCCAGGGTGACCGGGCGAGGAGTCCAACGGCACTGAGGCTCATTTGCTCCCAAGGTCGTGATCATCGACTATTGACCAACAGCCACCAGCCCTATTCCAGCAGCTTCGTGTCCAAATTGTTCGTTTGGCCAAATGTTCTTGGGGAAATGATGGGAAATGGTCGTCACCGGACCAGTATATAAGCAACCCACATGTTACCTGCCATCCGTTGCCTTCACCGGTGGCTTCACCGGTGGCTTCACCCGGCACCCCATCCTCCGGCACCCTCCGGCCCTAGGCTCACCGTCATGGAGGGGCGCGTCACCCGGAAGCAATCGCCCGGACCCAATCCTTCGGGAACCCGGAACTCGATGGGCCAGCCGTCCAGGTCCTAAGATGCTCCGGGTCGATACCGGTGCGGCACGGCATCGGGTTCCGATGAATTCTGGCATGATTCGGGATGGGGTGAGGTTGAAACTCATTTTGTGTCTTTACTGTGACACACTGCTACATAAAACAGCATCGACCCTTCAGTCTGTAATTGAAGATGAACTGATGAACGAAAGGACAGCAGTTTGCCTCAATGCGGATCTTGCAAAATGCGTCACCTCACTCTGGCCATGCTACCTGATGAGGTATGATCTTGCCGCCGGACATGTGTGGCGGCACTTGAACTTCATACTCCGGAGGTGCTCCAAGGTCAATGGTAACCTCGACTCGATTGGTTCAGTCTAGGCGTCTGAGTCTGGAAGAAAATTCCCCAGAGTTGGGATACGTTAGTTGCACCATAGGACGACTCTTGCCAATGCCAATGCTGTGCGCCCCCAAGTTCACATTGTCAAATAGAAAAATCCTTAATTAAAGAAAGAAAACAAACTTCTTGCCCAAGAGACCAATTCACCGGGCTTGGCCCCGGCTGGAACCCTGGTGCGGATTTCAAACTCCAAGCCTTCAACGCAGATCAACGAGCTGCCGTCACGTGGCACGAGAGCCTCGATGACCAAAGGAGGTGAGGCCACAGTCACGGGCATCCCCAAATCAGATGGGTCCTCGCCTCCCCGGCCTCAGGGTGCACAGGTCTTCAAGCGATGTCTTCACCTCGGTCTCCCCTCAAACAGGAACAGAGAAGGCTTCAAAAACCGTACCCAACACCCTGGAGGCCCAGCAACTGTTTTTCATCGGAAAGCTCTCTGCCACGGTGTCTTGGTTGAGGCATCTCACATAATGCTCATAGTCTGCGTGCAGCAAAGGAAAGTGCTCATCAGCCGGCCTGGGTTGTAACCAAAAGTCAACAGTATGCAAAAACCGTGAAGAGCTGGGAACACCCCCCGTCTTTTGTTAACGCCACCATGGACCGGTCTCGGTCTTGTCAATCTCACTCTCTCTTCTCCTTCTTCTCCTTCTTCTCCTTCTTCTCCTTCTTCTCCTTCTTCTCCTTCTTCTCCTTCT